CTTCTACACCACACAAGTAATATACTAAAGAATTATTACAAAGTGTTAACACCACACCCACAATGTTCCATCTAATTAATCATTGAGCCTGTTCTTGCATATATCTTGATTGACACATACCTTTATATTTATGTTTAAACTCGTCAATTCTATTACTATTTTTTATGTCCACACTTAAATTATTCCATAGTTTTACCCCACTTATGGAAATACAAAATCTTTTTTTGGTTGTACGTATAGCATGAATTTTTAAATTTAACTGACCCCTTAAATTGTATCCCCCTTCCCTTTCATTAAATAGTTTTTGAATTCCACCAATTTTGTCAAATTGCAGTGCTCATATTTGTGTACGCACGCTGGCCGCGGTGTTTTTAGTGGCCTTTGCTGTCACTGCCCCCAAAAAATCAGCTTCATGTGGTGTTTCCATGAAACGTGGCTGCACATTAGATTGTGCCATATAATTATTTAAAGGATGAGATGAAACATGTCTTATCATTTAAAATGAAAATTAACTTGAGGGGTAATAATAAATAATGATGGAACTTTTATGACCCTGTATGTCAAAATGACAGCCAATCAGAGAGTCTGGCCTGATCTCTGAAGGACACTGTTAGAAAGTCTGGAATATAAAGTGGTGAGAGCTGTGACGACTGTTTAAGCCCTGGATGGCTCTGACTCTGGTAACGGGGACTCAACTGGATGGTTTGTGGTACATCACTGTATATGTAACGCAGTCACATGATCTGTGTGTGCGTGTGCAGGTTTCCACAGGAGCTTACAAGCGTCAGGTGTTTGAGGTTCCTTCGGGGAAGCTGGTGAGCGACCAGACTGTCATAGACAGAATCACCTGGGCTACGTGGACCAGGTAACACGACCACTCACACAACAAGATTTTCAAAAGGTCTAAGAAGGTTTACGTTTTTCCTCTTTCACTCGGCCTTTTTAAACCAGCTCCGTCTGTCCCTCAGCATCCTGGGAGATGAGGTTCTGGGGATTTGGCCTCGAAACGCCGACAAAGCCGACGTAAACTGTGCATGTGTGTCTTACGCCGGCCTGAACATCGTCACCGGCGACGACTTCGGATTGGTCAAACTGTTCGACTTCCCCTGCACAGAGAAGTTTGTGAGTCGCTGATACTTTCCTCTCTTGTCACCACGTGAAAAACACTGGGAGTCAGTTATCTTATGGAAGAAACGCAACAAATCAGAATGTGTGTGTCTGCAGTGAACATGCCGAAAAGCAGCAGGGCCAAGTAACTAACTGACCTGTTGGCTGGTTTAGAGAGTTTGGAAACACTGGTGTCACTGAAGTAATGTGTTAAAAGTCTTTTCAGACATCAACTATATAACTGAGTGGAAACCAGAGACATTTGTTGAATAAATGTACATTTATTTTATCCACACAACCTGTGTGAACAGTAGGAAACCTGTATTTGTTTGTGTTGTGGAACACTCAGTGCCCAATTAGCTGTTACCAGTTAGTTTCTCCTGTGCACCAGTGGATGTACTGACAACTACCACGAGTCACGGTGATACTGAAGGAAACTCAGGAAGCTGGTGTTTCTCCGGGAGGCTCTGCAGCGCTGACTCCTGCACCATTAGTCTGCTGTTGTGTTTCTTTTGTGAATGGACTGTGTCCAGATATTCCAACTTCCCTAGCGAGTTTATTTTCTTTCATTTCACTTTCCGGAGGGTTGCACTGAAACATGGGAAGAGTCGCAGATTGGCGGCAAAAAGATCATGGATTGGTGACTAGAGACAAATGTAAGCTTTGTTCTGTCTGCAGGCCAAACACAAGCGCTACCTCGGCCACTCGGCTCATGTGACCAACATCCGCTTCTCCCACGACGACAAGTATGTGATCAGCACAGGAGGAGACGACTGCAGGTAAACCTATCGCTCATCAATAACAGGCCATCGCCTCACCTTTAATCTCATGTGTAGTGGTGCAACTCTCAGACCATATTTACAGCTGAGTAGACGAACCGGTTTTAACTTCCTTCGTTATGTGTAAAAAGCCTGTATTCAAGTATTACCAGCAAAATGCCACTTGAAGCATAAAGTACTTATCCAGGCAGGATGGACCGTCACGGTTATAGGAAGATTTTAACACAAACATAATTATGCTTTAAAACGTAAAGTGTATGAAGCTGTGCTGAGCAGCATGTTACTGTTGGAGCTGCTGCAGTCGAGCCCTTGGTTCTTCTTTACTCTAATAATGTGCTGTATAATAACTGCCATAGTCGGTACATAAGGCATGTACATTATGGTGGTTTGTGGTACAAATATGTCAGTTTGAGCTCTAGGAAACACAGGACGTTGTCACCGTTAAATCAGGAAGTCGACATTAACTTATAGTTCAAATACTGTGGCAGTAGCTGTGCACATTTTGTACTGTTTTTCCTTAGTAAGTATAAAGAACAATGACAAATCTTTAGTCTTAGTTCAAGTTAGTAAAAACCAGTTCCACTGTTTATTGACAAATCCAGCAGCAGCAAAGTGTCAGATTGAGTCTTTGTCCATTGCAGGTCTGAGTCGTAGTGGTGGGGCCTCAGTGACGGACGCTGCCACAGCTGGGTTTCTGATGCTACACTCTGTTTGTGTGTGTTCCAGTGTGTTCGTCTGGAAGTGTCTGTAAACGGAGCTCTGCCGTATGGTGGCACTTATGCAAAGCGCATCACAGTACCACAAGTGGATCCAGGGAGAATTGAACCCACGATGTGAACCGGTTTCTGGTGCAGTCCAGTCCCAGGAACCTGGAGAAGAACAAGGCCCAAGATTCCCCGGCTGGTTCAGCCAGACTCCTCTCAGTGCGTCCTGGTGTGAAGGACAGAAGCAGCTGCTGCCTCCTGGTGGTGGTCCATCTGGATTCACAACAGTGCAGTTAGACGACAGCCAACCGGGCCTTCAACACCGATGTCATGTGACTCTCTGCTGCACTACCCGGACAAGGTTACCCAGAAGGCCTCGCTGCACCCGATGACCGACTGGAGCTGCAGGAAGAGTGGCAAACAGAGAGACGAGGCTCAACGGAAACACAACCTGTTTGTGCAGAGTTCAGACTCTTTCTAATGACACACCGTTTAGGAAGGTTTGGTTACAGGCCTTTTTGTAAGAACAACTGGACGTTGAATTACAGCAGCATCCTTCCCTGTGGTCACACTGGTCACCTGAGCAGAGAAGGTGAGAATAGAGGGAGGCCTCCCTGGTGGACGTGCGAAGTGTAGATGGATGAGAGGGCCGCCAGGTTGCGTCAGAGATTTTCCACATTAGCACAGATGGTGTTGTTTACTCCTCTGTGTGTCCTCAGGTGAAGGTCCACTGCTGACTCTGGTCAGGAGTCGCTGCTCCTCCTGGGCACTGCGTTACCCTTCTTGTCCTGCTGTCTCTGGGGGGGACCATCTCAGGGTATTCACAGGCCTGGTGAGACATTCTCAGCTGCTGGTCTTGCAGTGGGTGATGGGAGTCAAACAGCCATCATCATCCACTGCACCACAAAGTAGGAGTCACCAGGACCCTACACCACAGGGCGGGAAATATGCCCAGGCCTCCGGGCCTGTGAATACCCTGAGACGGTCCCCCCCCAAAGACACCAGAGCACAGGAAGGGTAACGGTGCTCAGAGCAGCCCGGCCCAGGAGGAGCAGCGACTCCTGACCAGGGTCAGCAGCGGACCTTCACCTGAGGACAACAGACACACAGAGCAGTAAAAGATGCCATCTGTGCTAATGTGGAAAACCCCTCAGACAACCTGTTTCCCATTCCATAGGCAGCCCTCTCATCCATCTGCACTTCACCTTTCCACCAGGGAGGCTGCTCCTAACTCCCTCTACTCAGGTCATGTGACCACTGTGACCACCCTGGAGGATATACAGGTCCCTCACTGACTGAAGAAGCTACTGGGACAAGAAGTAAAACATTTCACATTAATAAAAAATAAAAAAAAACCTGCTGACTGCACCTGGATGACTGAGTCGTCTTCAACCTTAATAAGAGCATTTGTGTTGCCAGGTTGTGGAAAAACCTCCTGCAACACTTGGTCTCCTGCATCCACCAGGAGCCTCTGTTCTACCAGAGTCCAGTTAGAAACAGATCAGTGCAGGTGACGTTACGGTTGATCAACATTTATAAGTACCTGCATTGTTGGGGAACAGGAGCATGTTGGTACCAACCGGACCCAGTGCTGCAGCACAGGCTGGCTCCGCTGCACCCCTCACTTTTCATACATTCATAAATGTGTAAGGACGATTTTCTTTATGCAGATATTTCAAATGTATTTACAGATCGTTAGATGCGTGTGCACAGATCACCTGGCCCGCACGAATCGTGTTACGTTCGAGTGCGACCTCACCTCAATTGGACTTTACATGTATTTTAACGTGAACTATTCCGATGTCGTCATGTGGCTTTATCTTTAGTCGGAGCATGGCCGTATTATCACTTTACCATCAATATTTGCCGACTGGCATCTTAAATATTGATGGTCCAATCAAGGTGATGAGAAACTTTATTTCTGGAAAAAGCCTGAAACTTTCTCAGTTTTCCACCTGTCATTAAATGCACCATACCTTTGTGGATCCCAGAGCGAGAAAATCCTCTGTAAATGTCGCACTCGAGCGTAACACGAGGTGATCTGTGCACACGCATCTAACGATCTGTAAATACATTTGAAATATCTGCATAAAGAAAATCGTCCTTACACATTTATGAATGTATGAAAAGTGAGGGGTGCAGCGGAGCCAGCCTGTGCTGCAGCACTGGGTCCGGTTGGTACCAACATGCTCCTGTTCCCCAACAATGCAGGTACTTATAAATGTTGATCAACCGTAACGTCACCTGCACTTTCACAGGTTAATAAATCATAAACAAAATGCAGCTGGCACTGATCTGTTTCTAACTGGACTCTGGTCGAACAGAGGCTCCTGGTGGATGCAGGAGACCAAGTGTTGTCATCGATGTCTATCACTGACCTACAGAGCATTTACTAGTAACTTAGTAGGAGCCACTCGACTGTGTTTTGCTGCCGCTCAGGGGCCAGATGCAGAAAACTTTTGAGTCACGACTCAAACTCCATAAATGTGTTTGCCAGATGTGTAAAACACAGCGAACACGTGGTTCTAGACAGACTTTACAATAAAGAGATGATCGCACAGAGACAGACTGGTTCCTATGGTGTCAATAAAACCACTAATGGAAACCGTGCCCACATTACTACATAAATCTGTTCGACAAAGGCCCAACGCACTAACTAGATATCGCGTTAAGGTTCCGCCTGGGTCTGACTGTTACTTCATAAAAACTATTAAACCACAGAAAGGTGTCATTTGAGAAGACACCTATTTAAGCCTACAAAATGAAGCTAGAGACCAAAATGCAGTACTTGTACTGCATCTGTGTAGTTCTACTGCATTCAGGCTGTACTAATGTGTTTTCTGCCACAGACTGACAAACTACACGGCTTCAGCTGGAACTAAAAGTGTTGTCGCTAAATAAAAAAAGTTTTGTTGAACTGTCATTTTGATTTTCCGCGTTTATTCCACATAATGCAGTGAAGCAGCAGCTTGGTCCGCTCACGGAGAAGCCGACGTCCTACTGGAGCTTAGCAGAGCTCAGGTCTGACCCGGGTGCATCTCATGTGACTTGGTGGCTGAGCTGCTTTAAATCACACACATTGTACAGGAATGTGTTTTAAATGGGACAGATAGGAAAACAGCGGGTGAGTCCTGTGGGATATGAATCACTTGTCTTCATCTATTTTCAGTGGATCTGGTCAGAGCTGCTTTGAGGGGAACAATCACTAAACATACACCAGTGTTTCTGTCTGTGGCTGCTGCACTGTGCCTTTGCTGAGCAGTACCGGGCCATCAGTTACAACTGGAGACTGCAGAATGACCATGCACAGCTGAGGAGTTCAGGTTCGAGCCAGGAAAATGAAGCTTCATTATCAGAGTCTGTCTCTCGGGTCAACTCTCCTTTTCTAAATTGGACTGGGTGCTGAGTCGGAGTCTGTCTCTACACATCTGACCTCTGGCTTCGGCACTTTGTAAACATGTAAAAGCTACCGATGCTGCGTTCAGGCCACGCTCGGAAATTACACAGTCGAGTGGATAATGTTTACAGAATATTTCTAAGAAACCATTTAAAAGAGTGTTTCTGGTCAGATTTGACCTCAGCTAACAGAACCATATAAATCACTACTCATGTTCTGTACTGGGAGCACTGGGATGTGATACTGGACTGATGCAGTTTACAGAAACCTGCAGGTGTTTGTCTTCAACTGGAAAAAGAAAAATAACTGATATTTAACTCAAATCATTTCTCATTTCAAAGAGCTTTTACAGGATCAGTCACATTATCACACTCAAGTGCCTTCTGGAACTTTCTACCTGTGTTTCTTGGTTTT